CGAGGAGCTGCATTCGGTGGTTCCCAGACTTCATGAGTTCAAGCGCCCTACGAGGCTGGCATCCCGCTCTCACCCCTTCACTGTCGAAACTCCTAAATGTAGCCGTCTCTTCTACTCCAATAGCTTCATGTCTCGCACCTCTCGCCTGTGGAACTCCCTTCCCTATTCCAGTTTCCCTGAGAGCTATAATCTCCAACCATTCAAATGTAATGTCAATCGACATCTCCAGTTGCCTTGATCTATCCACTACTCTTCTCCTCATCCTTTCCTCTATCACTCCTACCTGATCTAGCTCCAAATTTTCTGTAACCCCTTACGTCATAGTGGCTTCCCGCCTTGCTTGGGGGGAAAAGCTTTAAAAAAAATTCTTTATCTATCATCTTTTATTCTTCCTTTATATAATTCTTTCTATATATCTTATTAACTTTCTTTTTCTTTCTTTCTGATTTTCATTCCTTCATTCCCTCCTTTTCTCTCTCTCTCTCTCTCTCTCTCTGATTCCCTCTTTCTTTTATTCTTCTCCCTCTCTCTCTCACTGATTCTTTTTCTTCATTTAATTCTCCCTCTTTCTCTAATTCCTTCTTTCTTTCTCTAATTTTTTTTCTCTCTCTCTCTCTCTCGCTCCCCAAGATTCTTTTTCGTTATTTAATTCTCCCTCTGTCTCTAATTCCTTCTTTCTTTCTCTAATTCTCTCACTCTCTCTCTCTCTCTCTCTCTCTCGTTCCCCAAGATTCTTTTTCTTTATTTAATTCTCCCTCTTTCTCTAATTCCTTTTTTCTTTCTCTAATTCTCTCTCTCCCTCTCCCTCCCCCTGATTCTTTTTCTTCATTTAATTCTCCCTCTTTCTCTAATTCCTTCTTTCTTTCTCTAATTTTCTCTCTCTCTCTCTCTCGCTCCCCAAGATTCTTTTTCGTTATTTAATTCTCCCTCTGTCTCTAATTCCTTCTTTCTTTCTCTAATTCTCTCTCTCTCCCTCTCCCTCCCCCTGATTCTTTTTCTTCATTTAATTCTCCCTCTTTCTCTAATTCCTTCTTTCTTTCTATAATTTTCTCTCTCTCTCTCTCTCTCTCTCCCCAAGATTCTTTTTCGTTATTTAATTCTCCCTCTGTCTCTAATTCCTTCTTTCTTTCTCTAATTCTCTCTCTCTCTCTCTCTCTCTCTCTCGTTCCCCAAGATTCTTTTTCTTTATTTAATTCTCCCTCTTTCTCTAGTTCCTTTTTTCTTTCTCTAATTCTCTCTCTCTCCCTCTCCCTCCCCCTGATTCTTTTTCTTCATTTAATTCTCCCTCTTTCTCTAATTCCTTCTTTCTTTCTATAATTTTCTCTCTCTCTCTCTCTCTCTCTCTCGCTCCCCAAGATTCTTTTTCGTTATTTAATTCTCCCTCTGTCTCTAATTCCTTCTTTCTTTCTCTAATTCTCTCTCTCTCTCTCTCTCTCGTTCCCCAAGATTCTTTTTCTTTATTTAATTCTCCCTCTTTCTCTAGTTCCTTTTTTCTTTCTCTAATTCTCTCTCTCTCTTTCCCCTCCCCTGATTCTTTTTTCTTCATTTAATTCTCCCTCTTTCTCTAATTCCTTCTTTCTTTCTATAATTTTCTTCTCTCTCTCTCTCTCTCTCTCTCTCGTTCCCAAGATTCTTTTTTCTTTATTTAATTCTCCCTCTTTCTCTAGTTCCTTTTTTCTTTCTCTAACTCTCTCTCCCTCTCCCTCCCCCTGATTCTTTTTCTTTATTTAATTCTCCCTCTTTCTTTCATTCTTTCTTTCTTTAATTCCTCTCCCTCATCGTGATTCGTTTTCTTTATTTAGCCTTCCCGCTTTCTCTGGTATTCTTTCCTTCTTTATTTTTCCGCCTTCTCTCTACCACTATTTCTCTTTCTCTGCATCTTTGATACTCTCTATTCCATTCCGTTTTACTTCTCTTAAACTAGTCCCATGTCACCCACAACACTTGTCCTCCCACATAATTTTAACAAACAATTTTCTCTCTTTTACTCGTTCATTACCGTTCACTTGTTTTAGCTCGACCTCCATGATGGTTTTACGCTAACGGAGAAACATATTTGTGGCTCTTTCGTCATTTAGAGCAGCGTTGGAAAGAAAGAAAGAAAGAAAGAAAGAAAGAAAGAAAGAAAGAAAGAAAGAAAGAAAGAAAGAAAAGGTTTGAAGCTGGAAGAAATTTAAAAAAAAGAAGTGAAAACTCTATGTCACCTTCAGGCAGGTTGACATAGCAAAACAGCTAAAGAATCAACCCACGCCCCCTAGCGACAGAAATACTCATTAGGCAAACAGCCACTGTAAGAGTGTCCTTCACACAAGCAGGTCCGTGGTGAGGACCTCTTTCCGAGACACGACTGCGTTCACGGTAATTAGCAATTACATTCATTATCCGCCTTGATCTGTTTTTGCCGTCACTAACACCACTATACTTTCCGCCCGTCCGCCCGATCCGCCATCTTGCTTTCACAAAAACCACTTTGGATTCCTTTGGATGAAAGCACTCATGACTATTACGAGAAATAGTAATAATAGTCCTAGTGTTAGTCTGGTTTATTGATCGTTAAGGATTAGAATAAAGTATTAAACCTGATTTCTAATAATAATAATAATAATAGTAACAATAATAATATAGCAGTTGTGCTGATCATCACAAGAACATTTGGATCAGTTAAAAAGATCCGCATTTTTTTATCCTCGTTCTCACAATACAAGACTTGCGAAACATCCAAAGTTGCTGTTAAAATATTTTTGGTGAATGAGGTATTGTGACAGAGGTAACAAAAAGTGAAAATTATAACGATAAGATGAATACATAACGATTAAACATTAACTTGAAGAGGTTTAGATTTTTTTTCTGGAAAGCATCCACGAGGGATTCGGTGTCCACAAAAAAACAGTTCTTAGGAAAAAGGTGTATGAATGTAATTTTCTCGTTACATTTCGATTACGGAGGAAATGAGAGTGATTCAGTTGCGTGGGAGTAGCATGACCTTTACTACCACGAGAGGCAGTAAAGTTCTGAACTAGAGGAACTAAAGAATAGAGTATCTGTGATAAATAGACTCTAGAGTTGAGAATAAGACTTCTCCAAGATGACAATATAAACAATTTTGAACTCAATTTTTTTGAGTTTTTTAAATCAAGGTTAGAAAATTAGTATTGAGCAACTCCTGTCCAGCAAGACTCCAATTTTATATCTAATCTGAATCTTGCAAAGATAAAGCATGGCAGGAGGAGTCAGATATGTAGAGTTATTCCACAAAAAAAAAAAAAAAAAAAAAACATCGCCAGAAGACGCCTTCTGGACTATAAATACACTATAATATTTTCTCTTTCATTCTCTTTCTACTATTTCACCCAAAGACGTTAAGATGTAGGTCCAACGCGGAAAATAGCGTTCACGGGCACCATTACCTTTCTCTTCACTTTATATTACTATTCTCCTTTTACTATTTTCTTCAGACACGCTAGGATGTAGATCTATCGTGAAAAACGCGTTTCCCACTGGGAAACAAACACACAAACGCGCACACACACGTAGGTACGCAACTTCATTTTATTTCATTTTTTTTAGGACTTCTACACATATTTTGCATGCACAAACAATTCACTAGTCTTTAAATGTTCTTATGCATGTCCATTGTATTGTCACATACATACAATATCATTGTTTTGGCGCTTGCAACTATATAACGTCTAGTCTTGTTAATAATACATTATCGTTTGTTTGCATATATATATATATATATATATATATATATATATATATGTTTTGAATAAAAAACAGACCACTTTAAGGTTCCATGTAATAAATTATTTATTTCACCACAGCCCTTTTAAAAGGCTCTGGATCATCAGATTTTACTTGTTATTTGTTAATATTCAAATTCAATAAAATGTTTTTGCAAAATTCATTCCTTGAAAATATGCATTTTTTTTGTCTATGTGCCCAAAGTTTTGGGAACTATATATATATATATATATATATATATATATATATATATATATAAAGGTTCTAGAGGCACTTTACATCGGGTCCCTTAAGCCTTTTTTGTGTAAACAACGTGAGTGTTTGTTGGGGCTCGCTGTCATTTGACTTTAGTTCCTTTTGCTCATTTTTTCTCCTCCACAACTTCCTTTTATTGTACATTTTCTTTGTTAATTTTAAATTAAATCTCCCCGTTGAAGCCTGAAGGCAGGAGCGAAACCAGTTGTTTCGCCCGTTTTTAATATGTCTAGTAATATTAAGTTTTATACTTTTATTTCGATCAAAATTTTTTAAATATAAAAATATATTTAAATATATATATATATATATATATATATATATATATATATATATATATATTGATTTTTTTATGTATGATTATTTCTTTATATATAAAATATATGCTGCCTAATATTATATGTTTATAAAAAAACAATTGATCCGCAGTACGAATTTCCGGAGAAAAAAACAACTACAAAGACATATCACTATATTAATTGAACTATATACTTAGTTCATGTCATGTTAACTGAAAAACATTTGTAAAAAAAAAAATTCGTGGATTTACCATTTTACAAAATTCATATAAAATTTTCACTTGAAATTTTGAACTTTAGCGGTGCGACTCGCACGTTCCGAGATTGTACAACCGTCAATAAATAGCACATTCTTAAAAAAACATCTTTCGGTCTACAAACAATTATTTCGTCTTCAAGTTTTAACTTTAAAGGAAAAAAATTACAGCCTGATGATGAAGACATGGATCTTCGAAAGTACTCGCTTAACTTAAAAAAATCTAGAAACATCTGACAACAGTTTTATAAATGAAGATCACATCATTCAAGAATTAACAGTATTTTAATGCATACATTATGTTTCTACTAGCGAAGTGATTTCGCCATTAATCGCATTAATATTGCTGATTGATTCTATGTATGATTATTTCTTTACACACACACACACACACACACACACACACACACACACACATATATATATATATATATATATATATTATTAAATTTCTAAATAATAAAAATCTATTAAACAACAGACATGAGTTAACGGTTTTTTGCCGACATCATCAAATTTTTGCATTGAATAATTAGCTTAAAAACAAGCATACAATAATATAATTTTTATAATCCATAGCCCTAATAAATAGTTTGAATCCCCTACAAAAATAGATAACCCTTTATAAAGTCGTCAAAAGACAAATGTTATGGCAGTTTTTATATACACAAAACCCTTTCATAAAGAAATAAATTAAAAAAATAAATAAATCTCCATAGACAAGTAAACCAGACTGGGCGAAAACATCTTCCGTTTTAAATTTAGACACCCCTACCTTACTCTGACTTGACATCTATGAATGTAACTCTATACTGATACATATTACTAACACCCAACACACCTCCCTATTTAAACAATCGCCCTGGCTGTTACCATGGAAATTTTGAATATGCTATTAAGACACGTAAATTTCAGAAATAAGTTATTCCAAAAAAAAATTTCGCTTGAAGATGGAACAGAGCTTACTTTAATTCAATTTAATTCAAATAATTATATTGAAGATTTAGGCTCTTGTTTTGAAACATGAGACCTCTTATGTAGCGTGTTGGAATCATATTTTTAAATAAATAATTATATATATATATATATATATATATATATATATATATATATATATATATATATAAGTGGACATTGATGGTCTGACAATTTGCTTAACCGCAATCGTCATACTATCAATGTTCACTTATACTTTGTAACAACCTGGACGTAAATTTACTGTGACTGAATAAACGATTAAATCACTTTCCTGACATTTAAGTTTTAGTGATTTCCCTAAAGTCTGGACACTTAGGAAATCACATTAACTATATTTTTTTTTTAACCCCACAGATTAAACATGGTTTTGTCGAAAGAAGAAAGAATTGAGTTCATTTTTTCTGGGGTGTGCTAAAGGAGAAGGTGTACTCAATGAAAATCACAAATACAACAGGCTTGATTGAATGCATCAAGAGTGAATGTGCTAAAATTGACGTCAATTTACAGTTACTGCATCGAGTTCAATTGAATCTTGTGTATCGACCTTTGCATCACATATGATGGAAATCATATTGAAGATGTTATTTGTTAATATTCCAATTCAATAAAATATTGTTGAAAGTTTAATTTCTAGAAAATTTATATTTCTGCCCATGTGTCAAGATTTTAGGGATACACTTGTGTGCAATTTTTAAATATAATTCCAAGAAGACACGCCCTGTCGAAACACTGTGTCTTTTCCTTTCTTAAACTGCGCTTTTTCTTAATTGTTGCAAAATATTTGAAGTGTTACGCCAGACATTTTGTTAAAAACTACTACTAATAATAACCCTCCTATCAGCATGACTGAGGCTCAACTCCATGGGAGCGTCCTTCAGCGTCTTCTTCGTCTCACGTTTTCCACTGACCTGAGGTGAAACAACTACATTGAATCAACAGCTTCATCTACCGCAAGGATAGTTGGTTCTGTGTATCGTACCGGAAGGTTTTTCTAATCTGAGTCTATCCTTCAAATCTATAAATCAACCATTCGTCTTTACATTGACTACTGCTGTTATATGTTGCCTCGTTACCCCGCTGTTTATCTCGAAGTCCACAACAAAATCCAAAGACGGATATGCAATGTGATAGGTCCTGATCTGGCATCTTGTCTACAGTCACTTACTCACAGATGTGATATGTCTTCCCTCTGTCTTTTCTACAAGTATTTTCAAGGCAACTGTTCTGACGAGCTACTTTCCCTGGTACCCTAACTGCATGAATTTAAGCGTGCTACTAGATTGGCATATCGGTTTCACTCTTTTACTTTTGAAACAGTTAAATGTAACGACCGCTTCTACTACAACAGCTTCTTCCCTTGCACTTCCCGACAGTGGAACTCCCTTCCTCTTTCTCGCTTCCCTAATAGCTATAATCTTTAAATATTTAAATGTAATGTCAATCGACATCTTATGATGCCTTGATCCTGATCCCCGTCTTTTTCTATATCCTTTCCTCAGACACCACGTTTTACTCTTGGTCTTACTCTCTGTAACCACTTGGGTGCTAGTGGCACTCGTGTTCTGCTGGGGGGAGGGGTGAAATGCTTAAAAAACTAGAATCTGTCCAAGAGAATGAAATATCTGAAATTGATAAAGAAATAAATCGAATCCGGTAGACGTAAATAACAAGAAAACGTGTCAAATAGCTTCTTATTTATTTTCATTTTTTTTCTTTTTCTTTTTTCTTTTCTTTTTTCTTTTTTTTCTTTTATTTTTTCTTTTTCTTTTCTTTTTTCTTTTCTTTTTCTTTTCTTTTCTTTTCTTTTTCTTTTCTTTTTTTTCTTTTCTTTTCTTTTTCTTTTCTTTTTTCTTTTCTTTTTCTTTTCTTTTTTCTTTTCTTTTTTCTTTTCTTTTTTTTTTTCTTTTTCTTTCTTTTTCTTTTCTTTTTTCTTTTCTTTTTCTTTTCTTCTTTCTTTTCTTTTTTCTT